AATCAAGAAGTATATAGAATAATATTTATTTACAGCTTTGAATTCTGTAACTTATTGTGGAAGTTCTCTTTAACTTCAGAAAGAACGTGCATTCAGATAATTGTATACTGATTATAAATGAACTTACAAAGAGACGATCGCCGCACTTGACGAGCCAGGCAGGACTCCGCTGGCTCACTACCAGAATACTGCGAGACTGATTACGTAACTATGTAGGTCAGTAATTAATATTAATATTAGTATAATTATTATACTAATATTAATAGTAATTATAGTATAATTATTATACTTATACTATATACTTACTATATATAATTATAGTAATAGTAATAGTATAATTATTATTATAATTAATAGTAATTAATATTTATTACTGTACATATGTTTAGCAAATGAACACTTTAATAATTGGATCGATTTAAATAAAATATACAGGCATAAGATTTTATTACGTCTCAGTGGAATTGCAAGCTTGCAAGAAGGTAGCAAATTTGGAAAATAGAAGAAATCAGTGAAGATTTGGACTCCTTATATAGATGGGGACAAACTAAACAATGGTGGCAGCCTTGACGTAGGAAACGTAGAAGCGAGTAGCAATGGTTATAACTTACAACTATAAACTGTCTACGTAGATGTACCATGCAGGAGAGCACGCGTTTCAGTAAATTAAATCAATAGTTGATTTTAGTGGTTAATTCTATTAAATCATTTGTATAATTTATGTGACAAAATCATGTTATCAATTAATTTGTCCAGAGAAGCATAAGGTAAACATAATTACGGAGCGTAAACAATAATTTAGAATTTCAGCAACGTTCGCATAAACGTAAAGATAACGAAGGAACGTAAAAAAACTAACAAACCGTTAATTCCCTCTTAATTTCGACGAAAAAACGTTCAATGAACGTTGCTTTACCGTTAGATGCATGATCGATGGGAGACGTGACTTGTCTGAACGCTAAAACATAATAAATCAATTCCTGCTATAGGTCAACCGACGGCCAACCCAACCAAAGATTAAATAGTTATAAGTGAATACAAACCACTTTAAATTTACGAGCAAGAAGAAAAATGTTAAATTGTGGGAAAAATTTCTCACAGAGCTTAATGGTGAGAAATAGGCTGGTGATCGTCGAGTGTGTGACGGTAATTTGTACTTGAGTATATTATCCTAAAAACTTTGATAAGAATATAATATTAGAAAAATAGGCGTTTACTCGTCGTATAGTTAATGACTGAACTCCTAACTCAACCCCGAATAGGAGCCAACAATAATTAGAGGTATTAGAGACATGAACAGCCATACGAAAAATCATAGTAATTCCATGGAGAGCTAAAAGAGGTTGACCGCATACATTTCTGCTGTAATAAAAAAAGTAGGCATGTAAATAATCAGAGCGATGGGCTATGAAAAGAGAAGGGCTTTCAAATTTATGAAAGAAATCTATCTTCGTCACACTCTTAGGAATGAGTCTAAATGAGCGAACTGTAGTTAGTCTCAAGCAGGTGCAATTTATGATCGATTTCATCGAATTTACAGTTAAATCAAATTAATTTTACTAACTTTTTACATTTGAACTTATTAAACGTTCTAAAAATTTGAATTTCTTACACAACACGGTTAGCTGTCGCGAGCTGTCTCAGCATGAGTGGGTGTAACAGAGTGGTAGAGAGGGTGTAACAGAGTGGTAGAGAGGGTATAACAGAGTGGTTAGAGAGGATGTAACAGAGGGGTTAGAGAGGGTGTAACAGAGTGGTAGAGAGGATGTAACAGAGTGGTAGAGTGGGTGTAACAGAGTGGTTAGAGTGGGTGTAACAGAGTGGTAGAGTGGGTGTAACAGAGTGGTAGAGAGGGTGTAACAGAGTGGTAGAGAGGGTGTAACAGAGTGGTAGAGTGGGTGTAAACACCACCACTCCTCCCGAGACCGAACGACTTGAAGTCTTGTCAAACAACTTCTTTGCCAAAAGTTATTCTATTTAAATGTCTGCGGTATTTACAGTTCACGTTTCATTAACTTCACCCAACCTCATAAAACCGCAAACGTTATGCGATTGAAACAAAAGATTTAGAAAACAATTCAATGATTAAGATGTGAAAAAAAATAATGATTCTATAGGCTTGCCTGTCATCGAATGCCAACGACTCTATGGAGGCCTTCGCTGGGGCGGCCTGAGAGAAGACTAATTAAGGCGATTCTTCAATTTCATACCACGATGATCGTAAAGAGTTGATGCTTGAGTATCGACTTCTTTTAAACCATTATAGCACCCAGTCATGTGCATTACTCATTTTTAGCGCATTTTCTCATTTATGGAAAAAATGCACTATTGTGCTCGCTATGTCCGTCCGTCCGTCTGTCTGTCTGTCTGTCTGTCTGTCCGTCCGTCTGTCCGTGAACTCAAGTTTTCGTCGACGAGAAAATGCGCTCTCTGTCACTCACTGCAGTGAGTATTGAGTTATATTTTTGTTATCTCCTACAGCCCTTTCCTTTTCTCCTTCCCCCATCTTTTGGCCACTTAGCGCCACCTCTTGTTCTTTTCCACATTTCCTTGTGGCATCGCACCGCCACTACTACTACCACCACCAACATGTGAAGGGAAGTGAATGAAAAGTTAAAGGTGGTACCAATAAATATATACTCCACGTTGCTTCAAGTTTGCATATCGGGAGCTGCCGTCTGCTGCTCAAATGGCCGATGCGGCTGAAAATTTCGATGTTGAAGCATAACCCGAAAACAGCGAAATTGAATAGGCGCAAGTAAATATTTCAACTGAGATAATATCATTTTGATTATAAGGATGTTTTTTAATTTTCTAATTACAAAAGTTTTGCGTGTTATGAAACCATAGCGCGTTTCATAACTACAGACTTGATTAAGCTAGCCTATAACTATGTTTCTGGCAGCTGCCTATATATACTTAATCGGTCCGTAACTCTTCGTTCCGTGCAAATTGGGCTGAGTCACTCCTGATCATGTAACTGCCCTAGTGTCCTACCAAATTATTTGTTCATTCAATATACACATAAATACGTTAATAAATTTTGAGATAGATTTCATTTAAGTTTATTTAGATTTGGTTATCTAGGAGTAATTCCCTCCATTAGAGTAGCTGTTTTTCAACCCGAATGTTTAACCATGTTATTAAGTTTGCATCATAAATTCAAATTCTATGCTTTTAAACCGAGCAATTTTGGAAATATTATCCCCTCAAAAGCTGGTTCGCTGCTTAAAAATAAATATTATTTAATATATCATAGCGTCAAAAATGTTGATGATTGTTAAAAAGTAAAAATACTTGTAATGAAAGAGTTCAAAAAACAATAAATATTTGTTTTATTGTAAACTCCTAATGTGAATGGACAATTCGTTGATTCGCTCAGCGATTGCGCAATCCAATTCCATGCGACACGTAAGCCTCGCGTCAATTCCAAATAAAGCAATAAAAAAATTCCTTCATGATGAAACACTGTTGAATTCTGGAAGAGATCTTTAGTGTATTAAAGAAGATATGTGGTCTTACTGACTCGTATGTTTGAGCCTGACATTAAATATGTTACTGGAGCCACTATGATTGTATAATGGAGACCCTCTAACGCCAATCATTCCTCAAATATAAATAATCAATAATAACGTAAAATTCACCTATACAAACTTCAATCTTGACCTCATAACGCATTTCAAAAAGCACTCTAAACTCTTTAAACTCTCAGGGATTATTATTTCGTAAGCTATAGAAGCGAGAAGTAGCGAGCTTACTTTTGACTCTTATATAGAAGAGGCCCACCGGAGACGCGAAGTGTCCATCTCCGAGCACTCGCACCTCGCCGAACTCATTGGCAACTCAAAATAAAACTATAGGAAAATTTGTCCGAATTTACCATTAGATTAGATTTGTCATTAGATTAGATTTGTCCGAATTTACCATTCTCAGTCAAAGTTTTTAGTTATTTACTGAAACACGTATTGCTTAAATAATTCGTGTTAATCAGTAAAATCTTGTTCAGTCTCCCTTCGAATTGGTAATAAACAGACAAATTTGAAGTTCACTGCGTACCTTTCAATTTTATTAAATAATTTATATAGACCATAAAGTATCTACAAAGCAATTATTTCTAGCCTCACGGTAACTATTATTTTCAACTAAAAACATCTAGAATTTTAGGAAAATTGCATTAAAATTACCTTTGAATTTGCAAAAGCAACATTGTATTTGAATTATATATGTAAATTAATTAAATTGTACTTAATTTACAACAATTCTCTTTAACTTCACTTCTTCTTTGTTTGTTTATTCGTTTGTTTGTCTGCTACAAATCTTATAATCGATATTTAACACACTTCTAACTGTCCAATCGATCTGAAAATTTGCATACTTGCGTAAAGTCGGAGACAAAGCATGACTCGATTGATGAAAAATTCGAAAAAATTTAAACATTTTTAATATTAAAAAATAAAATAAGAAATTCATTGTACATGTGTAACATTGGAGAAACTGGCCCCTTAGAAGTGTTGTCGTTAAAAAGTAATTTTTAAATGCATATTATTTGATTTAAGGCTAATTAAATTAAAATAATTCAACGTTGGCTCTACTTTTTAAGATGGCCTTGAATCTACGCATCGTTCCGATGACATGTACGCAGGATCGCAACCCCGAAACGATGTTAATAAGTCCTGTTTAATTGAGTACCCTATAAAGCTCACAATCGGTTAATTATAAAAATTCAGAGTTTCAGCAATGCGGTACTGAGCATACCGGCTGCCTTTCTGGCCGATCAGCTCCTCTTAAACGTGATTCAATCATGTAGAAAGTTTTAAATTCAGTCTCAACAATATAATTTTCTTCAAATACATTGCTCTGTATTCTGTGGCAATAACTGATCGCGTGCGCTTCCTTCCACGGAATAGCGTACGACAATTGTAATACTGTGAGCCAGACGTGCGACCTGACAGATATAAGGCTGGGATGCATCTTCCCGCGCTCAGTCAACAGATCCTTTTCACAGGAATAAAAGGGCGTATTTTTGGGGGAATAGTTCGATTCTTCCCTCGCTGCAATCAACAGGTTGCCTAACTTGCCTTCGCACAGTTTTCAGCGCGTGCTTGCTAAATATAATTAAAGTTTATGTAATAACCAATCGATTGTCCGATAGAGGCAATATTAATTTGATATTGTAAAAGACAACTAAAATTTCGGACCTTGTGTTATTATCTTTTTCTCGCCGGAAAAATACATTATTTTATATACAGAAATTTAAATCGCGGTGTCTGACGAATTAGGTTGTCTCTTTCAACATGACACAACGCGTGGTGTCACTTGTACCTCTGTTGCTATTGGCAACTATAGTTTGTGGCGATTACTGGAGCTCAAACGAAGATGTAGTGAACCATTTGGACGAGCCTCAAGATTCGTTGCTGCGCGAGGTGTCTTCAACCACACCTAACCCAGCGCACCGGGACGCCAACGCTACTTTATCTCCCATTGAATCCTTTGCTCTGTGAGTAACTGTTTGATGACTATAATGTTTTATTATTAATCCCATATTAAAGGAAATATCCAACAAATAGCAATTTTATATCTTAGTTTTATAGAAACTTATTTGAATATTACGCTGGAGTATTTTATTGGTAATATATCAGCTCGTCGTTAAGAAGGTAAAGAGCATTATACCTAGTTTTGAGAAATCTTGAGTGTGGTGCCTAATTTCCAGAAGCGTCCCTAGGTTTTTAGGACAGGGAAGGCTAAGCTGCCTAAAATTTAAGATCATATTCAAGTTGATAACTGGTTTTTATGTTAATTCATTTAAACTTATATTCAGGCTACATTTTAAGGAATTTATCATCTTGAAAAAAAATAATAATAATAATTTTTCTAGATAACATGAAATTATTTATGGAGCTTACGAACATATGAGGGGGTAGAAGCCCCCTGTCCCCTAGTAGGCGGGCCTAAGGCTAATGATTACATCCATATTATATCCCACTAGTAATTACAACCATAATATCATGAGAAGTATACTCAAAGTTACACAAATGACGCTTGTGGTGATTTTTGATGACATTTTGCACGATGCTCTTTACTCAATATTTACTCAAGTACGTAGTGGAACGCCAGTCCCGGGCCATAGCAATGTTGATTGCGATTTTCAGTAAAGTCTAATGTACATAGTACTTAGTACTCTCTCAGCAAAACTGAATTTTACGCATTAACGGAATAAAAAATACTATAAACAACGGTCATGTAAAGTTTTTCGGCAGCCGACGCTTAATTCCTGGGTACAAATTGTGCTTGAAGGGCGCTGCAGGTGAAGCTAAGACTGATATTTCTACTTATTCGGCAAATGGATTCAGTTCACTATTGCAACAACACCCGTTCTTGCAAGAATTGTCTCAAGCCAAGTTTATAGTATGCACAAAATACAAAGGAAACTTTCGAGTTGGCATTAGTTATGATAGCACTGCAGATACTAGTATTGTGCTTGCGATGAATTTATAGTGAAAGAATTCGGCATTTGGAACTGCTCACTCACAAATCACAATCAATCGAGTCGGAGTTGAATCTTTTACAATCCTTGGATCAAGTACAATGAAACATTGCAAGATAACTAAATATATGATTGATGTAAATTTGCAATATGAATTCCAAAAATATGATTGAAACACCGCGTTGGAAGTCGATGTAATTTTAGCCAGGAGAATTACAATGTTTTCACTACCCTGATGATAGCTTAAGAAATAATTTGTACAAATAACTCTACTTCATTAGCCCCCTTTATGTAAATATTTAAACCATTGTTGAACATTGAACCTAACTTCTTGCATTATTCAGCTCTTTTTGAGATATTTAACGTGGCTTTCGATCTAGTTTGTCTACGACTGCATAGTTGCCGCCAGGCTCTCACATGCATGAGCAAAAACGAGTCGGGATTTAAAGTTCACACACGCGTCAAGCTCTACGAGCAATTGGCATCGGTGTTGCCTTAGTTTAAGGTGATAGTACAACCTGCTCTGCTAATAAGAGCGGCTAGGCTCTTTAATATGATGCTGCATTTCGTGACGTCACGAAGACAGCGTTTGTCTCATTGGCTGGATGCAGGTGGTGGCCGCTGCTACATCGATAGTGAAGTCGCGCACGTCTGCAACGATCATCACTACAGGCGGCGGCTAGCGTTTGATCAGGTAGAGCTGGTCATTACAGATAAGCTCGTTTGGCTAGACTGTGTTTAGTGTCGGGCTTGCTTGCCAGACACAGCGCTGCTCTTGGCTCAAGCCGCTAATGAAAAAATTGTCTAGCGGCAAACCACAGTTGGTTCAGAATGATGCCAGACATAGTTGTACACGATGGTTGGTCTTACAAGCCGCTGTTGGGTGTTGAACTGGTAAAAAATGATTAATGGTATCTTATTACTTCTCTATTTCTCTATTACTACGCACATGTGAATGAAGCCAAGCGAAATCACGTGTCCCAGACGATGATCTAATGTTGGGTACTTCTGGATTAACGCAATAAAACACTACCTTAATTTCGTGTCTTTAAAGCATCGAAGTATTTTTTTACTACTATAAGGTAGTGAAAAACAAATCTATAACCAAAGTTGGAAATATTCGCAATAAAGTAATCATCAGCGAATTTGTCATTGTTACAAGTTGTTATTATTATTAAGTAAACAGGCTAGACGCTGTCTGCCATCAGACAGGATTGATACTGTTCATCATTCGTCAACAAAACATAAGATGGATCCTGAGCATCAGCCATCAGACGAACGCAGGCTAGACCCTGTTTATCATCTGTCAGGAATGCTAGACCCTGACAGACCCATCATTTGTCTGTGGACCAGACGTATAGACCACGCCGGCGGGATGGCGCTGTAAGGGGAAGCGGAGGCGAGGCGGCTCGTCGTCGTCTGCTACATGGCCAATAAGCGTAAGGAGCAGCGGCCTCGACTGCTGCTTGCTTGGGGTCATAAGGAACGAGTGCGTTCGTAGCTGAGATCAAGTCCACGTGTAAAGTCTCGGCGCCAATGCAGTGAGCTGCACCACAAAGGCTGCTGTTAGCCAATTGAACTATTTGGGTCAAGCTAGCCTTACTGAAAGTTATAGCAGGCCCTTCATCGGCCATCCATGTACTGCCTTAACAACGCAAGTTATTTTCTAATAAGGCTGCGTCATCACGCGTAACTTGCATGTCCGAAGCATAAAAGTAGTATGTATTGATATATATACGCGATGTAGTGACACAGTTGAGGGATCTTGTGGCACAATGTATCAAAATTCCTTCCCTGAGGATAGATCAATTGATACTGTTTGTAGAAGACTTTTATTGCTCTCGGCAAGCATTATTTCCTCTTCTAAATTAGTGGCAAAGCCGGATTTTTGGTCTTGAATTTAACCCACGCCGAATTACCTTTACGAATTGACTTATTTATCTTGATTTCTCCAGATATTTTCCAAGGCGTTGAGAGAAGTTGGAAATTATTAAATGGACTTGTGCTATTAATACAAACAAACAAACTGTAAAAATGTATGTTATTTTGAAATTTATCTTAATGGGCACAAGCTCGTCAGCAATTTACGTCTTTAGTCGCGAGGTAAATAAGCGATTAAACGATGGAAAATACTCGTCAACTCTTGCCAATGAACGATCGAACATGATTGTTTATTTTTCAGGAATAAATACGCTACTTACACTTATACTCGTATTAATTATGTAAATGTACTTTTGTAAGGAGTAATAGCCATTACATGCTAAATCATCGGATACTCGCTCAGTACGGCCATGACTTGCATGACAGGAAAATGGCTTTAGACTGCAGGCCGGCTTAGCTGTAAATCTTTCAAGAAAATTTCCTTGCTAACTTCTACGGCACAGCAACATGTTGAATTTAGCCCATAATATTGCATACAACTTTAGCTTTCTTATTATGTTTTAGCTTTCTTATTTATTGGACAACGATTTGCTTCGCTATGTATAAACTTTAATTAATGATCTTAAAGAACATCAAACTGCGATCTTGCATAACTGCTTTAATGTATCTAATTATGTTGCTAACAGCGTTTCCACACGCTTAATTTGTTACTACATAATTATAAATCAGTCGGTAATCTTGTATAACGGCGTTGCTATACACGTGATGTGCGTTATTGTAAGTATACCAGTCGGTCATCTTCCATAGCAGATTTACGACGCACTTATCGCTACTATACATAACCAAAGTTTCATACAAAACTGAATGACAATACGCATGACTTTCAATTGTCCGGGATTGATCAGTCAAGATCTTTGCTACAAGACAAGCGTTGCAATGTACAGCTAGTAAACCTGATTGTCGTTGCTACGAGTATGCTGCACCAGTCGCGGTCACTCGGGTGTGTCAAATACCGCTTATACGTACGAGTATTGTTAAATTGGTCTTAAATCAACTCGAATGTCAGAATGAAGCATTATTATTTTATAAACTACTGTCCTATGGTCAGGCCACGTGGTACCGATGCCAGGCGCTATAATAAGCGCCACCTGACTGGAGAAGGATTCGTTGATTAAGTGTGTGAGGGATAAGTAAGACAACATCTGTCCAGAGAACTTATCATGATACGGGGTGGCTTTATGTGAGAGATACGATACAGGTAAAGCTAAGACGTCGACCGTTAGGTCTGAGTAGCTCTAACGCTAGTTACATTGCGGCGTGCGTACTTGTCAGCTTTTCGAGGCCTTACTAAGGTTCCCATCTAGTACTTCTCATCTATCTTTATCACGTCTACTGAATATTACGCCTCAATCATAATGAATAGAATGAGACGCCTGATTGACACCAGACACCGACGTACCTCGATGTGGTACACTCACCTTAACCTAATTACTGTGGTGGAATGCAACTATGTTAGATATTGCAAGTTAATAAACCTGAAAAGATCGCTTATGAACGTGTAGCGGTTGTCATCTTGTCTACTGCATCTTATGAAAACTAATAAGCGGCCAAGCAGCGAGAACACGTTGTCTATATCGTTTCTTTGAAACACGCAAAGCAAATTTATCTAAATACGGCTCCAAATTTCTCATATTTAACTACTTTACTAGTGTTAATTTGAGTCATTCGAAAGCCAATTATCTAGATGTTCACATGGGCGTTCTATTCCTTTATTCTTATAGCGTAGAAAGAAGTCACTCTTCTCTTTCCTAAAGCAATACTGCCGTTCCGCGGCATCCTAAGTTCATTTCATTGTAACTTCAGAGCCGATGACCGAAAAAAATTATAAGGCTTTGTGCTCATGCGCTGAACCTAAGATCACTTTCGTAATGTTCCTAAGAGGTGCATTTACTGCTGTTGACTTGTTAAAAATTTGTTATTCATGTAAATCCCTATAAATTAGTTGTCAATTCATTTTATTCATATTAATCTTAATGAGTTCCAAAAGCCTGGAGGCTTGTTTTTTTAAAAGGTTTTTCCTTTAAATGTCCTGTTTTAGTGTACTCTTTTGAAATTATTGAATGATTCCGATAATGCTATGGTTTATTCATAAGGATATTATCTCAATGATATTCTCCTGCGATTTCTAATTAAATTCGCTTGATTTTTAATTTACGTCTTCTAATTTGAGACGTCTATTGAGAATATTTATGGATTCTCTATTTTTAATTATTGTTTACCTTGGATTATGAACTGCCTTTTTTCTCAAATCTCCTCATATTGTTTCTGGAATAATTTCAAAGGGACGATGCTAGACATCATTACCAAGTTCAAAAACTCGTGTCGTTTCAGTCATGTTATTGTATTCTCAGCAATTGTACGAAACAAATGAATACTTATATCCCCAGGAATCGTGAGCGTGCTATCCAGCAGCTGCTCGGCAAGGTGTTACGTGCGCTTGGTCCAGAGTTTGTGGCTCGACTGCCCGTTGCTCCTACGAACGCTACCCTCACGCCCCTCAACTCCGCCCTCAGAGTCGGCACTGGCACTTGTCCTGAGAGATACCGGGTGAGGGAAAAACATTAACAATAATATCACATGATGAAATAAGAATTATGTGAGTAGCAAGTAGAGATCGACAGCGAAAGGGAAGTGAAAAAGCCATTATAACTTGAGCTGATCAGTGTAAAGACGTGCAAATGTATGGTAAATAAGGAAAAGTAGTCATATGTACAGAGAGAGGTCGATTAATTCGTTAAATGTATGTTGAAAAATATAAACAGCTTGTGTTGGGGTCAATTCGTGGTTCATTTGGTTGTGTTCAATCGCAGTTTTAATTTGTGTGTAACGAGACAGTTAAACATCGAAATAATGCGCTTAAACAGAGCCTTCTTATCTCAATAATTTAAACTAGAAAATATTGAACGATTTGCCGTGAAATCAATGTAAGTAACGTTTCCAATCAGTCGCTGCTGGAATCGGAAAATGTCAGTAGCATCACACGTGCCCTTAAATTAACAAAAACTTAAAGCAGATCTAATAAGGAAACGGAGCCGCGTGAAAACTTTTGAGCATATCATAAGCAATTGTCGAGGCCTCTGTGACGCACTGAAGAGAATCTGCTTGCGATGCCAATGCACTAACCGCTATCGAAAGATAAAGCATTGATAAATCTCTCATTGTATTGTCCTAGATTCGTCTTGGGAGTAATTGTTCTACGTGAAGCCCTCGTCAAATAATCGACTTTTATGTAACCTTTTTATTTGCCAAAAATTTTAGTCGATCATTTTCCTTCTGATAATTCAATGACCGAGATTTTTAAATTTGGAACATATTTTTGCAGCGATGCTCGTCGCAAACATTCTACCCTTCATGCGAGGTGCCGCGTAACACAGACGAGCAGATGTGGCAGCAACGCTTCACGCTCTTCTTCAATATATCTTCTGAGATATCGTCCATCCGACGCAACAACGTCTTGAATGCAACCCTGCGTCTCTACAAACTCAGGATCGCGCTCATCGAGCCCACGACTTTCATTGTTAAACTTCACGTCTTCACCAAGAGTCTGAAGCGCAACAGGGGTGAGGAAGTCACCGTGATACATTCATTTTCTGTTAATCTTAATCATGACCTCATTTGTTGCAGTTATAATGGTGAAAATAAAGTTAGTTTCATGGCTTTTGTCTGGGTCGGATGCTCTAGATTTCTTTGATGTCTTTCTAAACATCATGAAGGTTTTTTTCAGTATTTACTGCTAAACTTGTTGTGTCTTGTGTTCACCATATACGTTTTGGATCTATATTTTTGTTTCACTTACATTTCTTGCTAACTCGATGCATCCTGTGTTAAGCGTGGTGCAAATTTCTTTTCGCACATCCACGAAGTGTGTATATTGTCTAAACATACCCATCGTTACTCCTCAAAACCATCAATAGTTATTTTCGTGCCGATGAAACTTACCTTTCCGTACGTCAACGTACAGAGCGCAGCAGGGTGGTAGCGTCGACGCAGCTATCGAGCGACTACGAAGGCTGGGTGTTCCTGAACGTATCGTCATTCGTGCAACGTCTCAAGAACCGCAACAACCACGGCTTCAAGATATCCATTCAGAACGAGAAGAATGTGCCATGGAATATCCCTAACTTCTTCGTTAAAATGGACTGTAAAGCATCTAATGAGAGTGAGTTAACACAGATCTAGTGTCGTATTAATAGTACAAAATCATGACTTTTTCGCCACGATTGACAGCTCGTATTAAAAAATGACAGTTTTAATGCCTTAAAGGTACAAAAAATAAACAAACATTATCCATTAAGCCTCGTATGAGCCATTGTTCTCTTATCTGATAGATCGAATATTACCTTGATACATTAAACTATTCACTATTCTGCGGGTAGAGAATCATGAAACTTTGAAGCGCCTATAATTAATTTCCTATGTTTTAATCTCATTTCGATCCATAATAAATTTTCAAAATTAATAATTTTTCATCATATAGACGCAGCGAATCTGACTACGAGTTCTGGCAGTGTGGTTCACTGCCCGCTGATGCTATATTCTGAAAATTATCTTGAACGCTTGCCGCGATGTTTATCACTCCGGTGAACAAAGTTGTTATTGAGTATCAAGGGATAAAAGAATATTCTGATCGATCGTGATATCGATTAGTTTATTTATGATGTTTTTTCCTGGTCAGGTCTGATCCCACTGCCGTTTGAAGTGCAGCTTGACGACAACACGCAACGATACCCCGCTCTCAACATTCGTTCAGGCACGCAAGAGGTCGAGACTGATAACGATTATCTTAATGCCGCCGATAATTTTTCTGGTAATCTTCCTCCTCATCAAGATATGCATCTAGGACAAGATGAAGAAATGGGTAACCACCAAGCGATCGGAAACTCGTTCAGTCAAAGTCATATCGGCAGAATTCAGTTAGAAGGACAGCAAAAATTAGACCGGATGCTCAACCCCCACCTCTATTCCTCAGTTGAGCATCACCAGAGAGACGGAAATCGGATGATCATTGGTGACTCGCAAGATTACGACACCATAAGTCACAGTGAGAATGAATCGCTCCCAGACGACAGCGATCTTAGTTACGGCTACCACGACTCTGCAGGCGCCGGCGAAACTGAGCACGACATCTACAGCGATCCGCAGCTCCGGTACAAAAAGCAAGCTCCGTTGTTCCCCGCGCACAGACATGAAAATGACCAGCAATATGATATGCAAGGTGAACATCAGCAAGACAGTCAATACCATTATGATGATGGTGTATATGACATTTATGATGACCCCTTCCATTCAGAAGTCGATGCTAGCTCTGGTATAAGTATGAATAGAAATTTGACAATATCTAACGATAATTCTACTTCAGAGGGAAATACTTCAAACAGTCTATACCTTCGAAGAGAGAACGACTATAGCAACGAACGTAAAGCTCCTCACTTCGAAGAAGACTCTGATGCTGCACAGCATCATTTGTTGGACTCCGCTGAACACCACAGATCGTTTCCGCGTTCCGAAAACCACTTCGGGACCAGGAATTTTAACCACTCTTATCGCAGGTCTAATCGCCGTCACCACCACCACCACCAACCACACCACAGCCACCCTCACCGCCATCATCCCCGCGCCTATGCTTCAACACACCGTCGCCACAGACCACACACCCAAAACCAGAGCGACCATTTGGTCGAAGAAGCTCTTCCTCAAATCCCCATCACTGATGAGATGGTAGTGACCACGGTCTTGCCGCAGTGAACCGCAGTCTTCTGAACGAATGAAGTATGCAACCCATCCTGTAACTACCTCTTATTTGTTATCGCTAAGACCACTTAGTCCATAGAGCCGAAGTGCAAATGAGTATTTATTGTTTAACTTCTCAGTCTATAAGTTGTTATAAGGAGCTTGTGGCTATGAGAAGCTAACAACGTCTTCCGTAAACTATTGTTTTAAGATTGTTGAATGATTTATATGGCCGAGAGCTCTAACGATTATTTTAACTTGGCATTATAGGTAGGATTTTAGTGAATCACACTATTTATAGGAATTGTGTTAAGAATCTATTGCTGCCACGCATATCATATTTGCCTTTTTACGGTAGGAACTTCTATCCACACTTTACACCAAAGTTTGGTCAAGAGATTTACGAATATCTCGTCTATTCACGATTGAGAGATGCAAACGTCATTAACTGTAACTTGATATGTTTTAGTCTCCTGCCTCTGCTCCGATCTTGCAGCGTTTTCGTCGATGCACTGCAACAAATTCTACTTCCCGAGAAAGTTCGGCTGTAAACCATAGAAGTTGCACTTATTGATCTGTTTTAGAATGCGCTTACTTGTTTCCTAAAATTACGCGTCTTAAGAGGATGAATTAGTCGGTTGCTATAATGCGTCGAAAGGATAAACGCTCTAAATGATCAATATTATGTGTGCCATTCTGGCTGAAGATTGCATGGCGAAGTACTTTGCCTTAAATGGTACATGAGGCTCGGGTGAAGCCGTGAAAGAGGCTATATAGCGCGTAAATTTTGTCATCTTCTTTTCAGTAGTGCAATGTTAACTTAGCTCTATACTTCCTTGCACTCCGCGTCACTACATGTTCAATGTGTTTAGAAAACTCAATTACAATATGAGTAATCAACTTTTTGAGGGTTAAGTGCTTTCCGAAAAAATTTTTTCCGTTGTTGCGCTACTGGATAAGTTTAAAATAAGTTTTTAATTCTAAGATTTTCGCTTGCAATTCCAACAAGTCATATTGTACACGTTAATGTATTTTTCATCAAAAAATTGAGCAGTAGTCGTGGGCAACATCAGTGAGGCGTAATTGAAAGGTTGTGCTAGCATAAGCATCTCGTTTACCCTTTGCATTAGGACGATCATTCCATCACCAAACTAAGAGTTCTTACTTTTTCTCTTAGTTTCGATATCCAATAGTCTTCTTTCATTCTTTCAAATTGTTTGTGTGAAAATTATATGGATGTTTCGTTTGAAAATGATCAACATTTCGCTGTTGATGGTACAGATGGACTAACATCAGATCTTTGAACCCATGTATGGCCCTCCTATTACTTACCCAAGTCAGTTACTGACCGTCCTATGTTGCCAGGTGTTCGTCTTTGCACCTAACATTATAGGTTAGGTGAAGGCCGAATTGTGGTCATATTTTTCGATCAATGAAGTCACAGATTACGTCATATTATTCATTTAATGATACACTAATTGACATCAATTTATTAAAATTGATTTTTTTATCTAATTTGACATATTTGTTATTGTATTATGCTCTGACAACCTTTAAATAAGTTAGCTTTTTAAAAGCGTTTGCTGGCAAGCACTATGTTCAATGTGAACATCAACAGTTGCGTCTCTGTATTTTAAAAGCATTTTGGCATCGCATTTGAAGCTTATCGTTCAAGGAGGCCATCCATTAATATTGTCTTCTTTCACTTCGGTAGTTTTCATGAAAATTATTTCTAATAATCTTATAAATAATCTATGTAGAACTACGGATGTCGGTAAGCTGGCTCCACACGGTGCATCATCGAATTCATTGCTTGGACAGAACTTCTCATGAAGTATAACAACGATTCTAGTCTTCCAATGTGCATGACATATATGTATGATATTCGTTTTATATATAAATTATTTCAAAACTTAAGTGGCGCAGATATGTAAATTCGATCGTATTGATCAAGATTGCTGTTTCACTTCAAATTTATAAGGTGTTTTAAAACAAGCTCTGTTATAATGAAGCAACCTTTCCTTCATTCAGAAGTTCAAATTTATTCCTGCGCCTATCGCTTACCAGCGCCGCTTCTGACCATATACTCCAGCTAGCTGCATTTTTTAGTTCATATAACTTGTAGCCTTGAGCATGGACAGAATTATAAAACGCTTTCCCCTCATGTTCTTGTGAACTATATTCTTATAGATCAGCGAGTTGCAGGAGGAATGCCGCTCACCTTGTATGAGCAAATGTTTTGTTTAGGCCAGCAATAACCCACCGTAATCTTTTTGTAGACGGAAGTCCAAGGAATGTATGTAGCTTAATTCAATGTTTATTATTGCCATTTATAATAAGTTATATATTAGAAAGAAGAATTGCTTAATGTCACCACTGTACTGACTGTAGTGTCCCTACACTTGAACCTATCGCCTGAATTGATCAGAAATGCATTTTGTAGTCTTTCAGCGATAAAAATGAATTTCAATGCTGTTCTAATATAAAAAAATTACTTTTTACTTACGTTTGAAAAGATGGCTGTATCGCTTCTTATGGAGTGTGAGCTTAAAACAACCATGAGATTCGCATGTCGTCGACGGTGACAAAATACGATGTAACATCGACAATTACTCTTCTATGCTATGAATGAAGCCTAAAATGTTTACCAAGAGATTCAATCAAGATGAATACATAAGGCAGGGCTTTGCTATTAATAAATGTTATTTGTAACTTTTATTATTATTGATAACCTGCTCAATTTATTAAAGATTTTTATCGGTTTTGGGTACGTGTAATGTTAATATGATTGAAAAAAAGTCAATACTTATTTCGTAGAATTAATTCTCCTACTAAATTTCGAGGAAAACGCCTCTGATTAGGTAGACGAGTGGTTGGAAACACCAAGATAGATGCAGTGAGTTGTGGGTTCAAGCTGGAATTGGAATTGGGCGCGTGCTGCCCTCCGGTCAAGACCTTTAGATCGGTCATTCACGCTGTATAAAAGCTCTTTTACTAGTTTAAAAATATTAAAAAATCGCGTCACCCTCAGCAGTTAACACAAAGTTTAAGTAACAAGTATTTACAACAATCCTAAAAAAATAAAACATTCACTCGTGCATGTCAATATCCTAAAAGCAAAACAGAAACAATGTACTAAGGTCATTCGGCACGGTCACATTGCCCTCCCACCCTTCCCTTTCTCAGCCCTCCACTCCTCAAGGCCCCACTCCGTCGGTGCGAAATAGATTAAGCTGATCTGAAGCGCTTGAAATCTTTCCCCTTACTGCTACTACCTAAGACCCCACTCATATTATCCTCCACCTTTCCCTAAACCTCGACACTTTTTCCAAATATCTCTTTACACTCTCAAGTATAGCGACAGTTGCTCCTTCAGACAGACCCACAATCATTGCCATTCACTCTTCGCTTGTTCTCTCATACCCCACTTCGTTAGTCTCACATCCCTCATTCAGAATCACCCCCATCATAAACTGACGCTCTCAATCATACGCCCCACATTCCATCAACAAGTGCTTCGCAGTTTCCTTCACATCCCCATCACACGTAAAACATTTATCTTCCCTCCTCTCATTCCTCCTGCATGGACGTCCATTCACACCTAGAGCCCCTGCCCTCACACAAAACAGAAGGTCCCCACCTCTACTACCATAATACATTCATAATTTCTTTTCGCTTTCATCTCATACAATTTTAAAGGGCCCTTTCCCTCCATTCCATGCTTCCACCTCTTCAGCCCATAATCTTTCACTCGCTTATTTATTTCTCTTTTACACTCATTTTCTATTTAATCCCACTCTATCCCAATCGCACTCCGTACTGACACCTCCCATTCGTCATTTGGCCTAAGAGGGCCTTGGCGCACCCATGCTTCATGCATACCACACTTACCATTGCACGGAGCTACAGTGGCTAACCTGTGAGAATTTCTGGCCAAAAACAATTGTGAGTTCAAAGCCCAAAGTGGTGTAAAAAAATGTTATGCCCATAATTGTAAACAGACCAAACTCGGACTAATTTTCAACTCTCACGCATTATAGTTTCCATTTGGATTATTATAATTACGATTAACTTTTTAAAGTCCTAAGTCAAATTGTTTATATTCTATATATGATAGCCCAAACTTGCGTGCAGATAGACCTGTGAAATATAAATTTGTGGAATGTTTGAGGCCTCTCCTGAAGCCTGTTCATCTCTCCACAGGCACGAATCTAATTTAAATATAAATGTTTGTTTGACACATTTTTGTCTGTTTGATCAAACGTGTTGATTGAGCCAGATCTGAATCATGATTGAACTATACTATCATAACATGGTCATCTGTGAACACTGCGAGGATTTCATTTGCATCAGTTGCGCGAAGCTGAGCTCTGAAGAATATTCTTTCCTACAGAAAACAGAGTATTTTCACTGGTTCTGTAGCGACTGCGAGAAACAGACTATCCGTGCCAGGAAAAGCGAGAAGCAGATGGAAGAGAATTGGTTCGCTCTGTTCGCAGCATTTCGAGCTGAAATGGAAAACAATTATCGGAAAGAGATGAAAATGTTGAGTAATTTAGTTGGCTCTTTGAGTAATGAAGTGAGCTCGTTGCGCAAAGAGCTGATCGAAGAGAGAGCTCAACGGAAAAATACAGAAAACTTGGAAAAGATGGAACTGAAGAATCACAACGTGGACATAGCCGAAATTGCTAGCGAAAGCTCCCGCGAATTACTAGACAGAGAACGAAGAAAGTGCAACCTTGTTTGGTTCGGCATTCCCGAAAGCACCGCATCTGAGACGAACGAACGTGTGATGGCTGACAGTAAGTATGTGTCAGACTGTTGTAGTAAAGCACTAAGCACACCGGTTGATATTGCATCGTGCAAGAGGCTGCGCTCCAAGAATGCTGCTATTAACGCATGCAGACCTCTATTGGTTACTGTGAAGGAGCCGGCAAAGGTTTGGAGCGTGCTGAAAGCAGCGAAAAAATTAAGAGAAACTTTTGAATTCAAGTCTGTTTTTGTGAAAAGGATTCCACCCCTTTAGAGAGGGCGGAATTCCACAAGAAATGGCAGGAGCTAAACAGACGCAGAAACACGGAAAATCATGTCAACACCATTCAAGATCGAACGAGGACTCCGAGTTAGGCAGGCAGATTGAGTTAGGCAGGATTTTGATGATTAATGATAAAGAGCCAATTAATTAAAGTGATAAATTAAAGTAATTAAAGTGATTGAAGTGATTAATTAAAGTGATTTAAGTGATTAATTAAAGTGATTAACAATTATAACTCAAAACTCGGTCATGGAGCCGCATTGGACTGGTCTTCAGAGGCCCCCGCAAATTTGAAAAAAAGAACGAGGACTCCGACCGCTCGCCGACAGTCGCGGGAGATTGAAGACAATTTAATTGTGGAAATCATGTATATAAATCCAGTTCTGTAAATAAAGTGAAACGTTTATTCATACATCAAGATGGAAGTGCACAAAAAGTTTTGAAATGTTTCTACACGAACTCTGATTCCGTTTTGAACAAAAGAAATGAACTGTTAACTGTGATCGGAAACGAGTGTATAGACATTATTTGTATTACAGAGACACTCCCCAAAAATCACGGGAGGAAAATTTTACCAGTTGAATTTCAGTTGCCAGGTTTTGATTGCTTTCATAATTTAAACGAAGAGCAGTGTAGTAGAGGTGTAGCTCTGTGGGTTAGAACCTTTTATGGGGCCCAGCAAGTGAAGTTATCAGCAGAGCACCAGTCAGCTAGAGAATCAGTGTGGTGTGAGCTTTCTTTAAAAAACAGGGATAGCCTCCTTATAGGTGTCCTGTATAAATCATTCAACAGTTCCTCTGATAACGGTAAAGTACAGTCTTCTACCAAGCATGACTTTCAGCAGGTCGCATATACGTTAATCGTTGGTGACTTTAACCATCCAGAAATTGACTGGGCACATGAATCCTCTCCAAGGGATGGGAATCACCCTTCATCCTTGTTCATGGAGTCTGTGAGAAGAATTTTTATACCAGCACATCACAAAGCCAACCCATTTTAGAGGTAATCAGACTCCAAATACTCTAGACCTAGTGCATGTTTAATAGTGAAGAATCAATGGTAGAAGAGCTTCGCCACGAGGCTCCGTTGGGCAAAAGTCACCACCAGTCATTGTTTTTCAGTATTAAGTGCTATACAGAAAAGACGCCTCGGAAGCGTGAACGTTTCAACTTTGCGAAAGGCGACTATGTTAAACTTCGTGAATCAGTGAGTGCAGCGAACATTTCGGACTGTATCATGAACATGAATGTGGCGGAGTCTTGGTCATTCATCAAGAACACGGTTATGTCTGCAGTTGATGCGTGTATA